GGCCGGCTCGCGGCCCGCAGGCCCGGGGGCTCCTGGCCCGGCCCGCGGCCCTCACCACTGGCGGAGCCGGCCGGTGGTCTCCGGGGCGCTCAGAGAGGCGAAGGTCCTCTGAGGCAGGAACCTGAAGCAGTAACCGCCTGAAGCCCCGGGCTCCCCAGCGGCCATGGCTGTGGTAGCTGCCGGCTAGCAGGCGGGCGGTTTCCATAGAGACGCAGCGACTCGCGGGCGAGGGCGGGCGCACTTCCGGGGCGGGGCCAATGGGCGGGGCCACCGCCAACCATTCATAGGGTTCTGCTTCGCCACTGGGAGGGGCTGGGGGCGGGGCTTCGCGTGGCAGCGGGCGGTCTCGGTGCGGTTCTCGCCGCTGCCCCTGCGTCACCCCGAGAACCCTCGCTGTTTAGTGGCTGTGGGAGCTCGGAGTTGTGGACAGAACAAATTGCCAGTTGTTACTCGTCACTACCTCTTTTTATCTTTTTGAGACAGGATCTCGCTGTGTAGTTCAGGCTGGCTTGCGCTCTGTTGACCAGACTGGTCTTGAACTCTCAACGATCCTGCCTCGGCCTCTTGTTTCTTTTATGTATGTATGTGCCTACGTACGTACGTATGTATGTATGTATTTGTTACAGGGTCTCACTGCGCAGCTCGGACTCACAGTGATCCTTCTGTTTTCAGCCACCCCAGGGCTGGGATTATAGGCCTGTGTCACTTCGCCTGGATTCTGTGGTGCAGGGGATTGAACCTGGGTCCTTGTGCTTGCCTAAACTTGCCTAAGCTTAGGTGGTTTAATCTGCTGAGCTGTCTCACTGGTCCTCTCACTGCCTCTTAATAATTATTGAGCATGATCTTTTTTTTTTTTTCTGGTACCCGAGATTGAACTCAGGACCCTGCACTTGCCAGGCACACACTTTTTCTACTGAGCTATCTCCCCGGCCCTGAACATGATCTTAAACACTGCAGTTATTGAACATGGTCTTAACGCTGCAATCAAAGATCTACCGTGATCAAAGTTTTGAGTGGCTCAGACGTTTTTGAATTAAGATTATTTTTTAATTAGGTTTATATCTGTTGGAGGACCAATGCCTGTGTGACTACTTGGAAAATACAGTATGGTTTTACTATCTGGCTTTTTTTTTTTTTTTTCTTTTTAAAAAGTAACATCTGAAGGCTTAAAAGACTTTCCGGGGCAGGGGAGATAGCTCGGTAGAATAAGTGCTTGCCTGGCAAGTGCAAGGGCCTGAGTTCAATCCCCGGTTCTGCAAAAAAAAACAAACAAAAAAAGAGACTTTCCGTACAGACTGCATGGCAATATGCTGTTTACTGTGAAATATTTATTTCCTATTGAAACCGGTCTTTTCTGTCTATAATTTCTGTTTTTTTTTTTTTTTTTTTTTTTTTTTTCTCTAATGGTAGCACATGATGGCTTCAGAGTAGGGACTAAATTATTCCTTTCCTTGAAGACTGGTCTTGGTTATTTTTATCATCAGCAGCAGGTCAGAGAGAGAGAGTAAGAGGGAGAGGGAGAGGTAGGAGGGAGAGAGGAGAGAGGAGAGAGGAAAGAGAGAAAGACAGAGGGGAGAGGGCAAAGGAGAACTGAGGGAGGAAAGAGGGGAGAGGAGAGAGGAGAGAGGGAAGAGGAGAGAGAAGAGAGAAGAGAGGGGAGAGGGAGAGGAGAGAGGGAAGAGACTAGAACCACATGCACACAACATTTTTCATTTAACAAAGTAAAATGAATTTCACAGTATTTGTTGTAACACACAGAGTTGTCTTCCAACTAGTTATTCATGTTACCCGATATATGCATATAAAATTGGAAGAAAGAAAAAGAAGTGTATAAGAAATTAAGAAGTAGGGGGCCTGGCCCTAGCTCAGGCCTTTAAGTGGCTGCTTCCACAAAGCTGTCAGCCTCAGGTTGCTGGAGTTCGAACCTCACACCTCTCCCGCTGGCCAAAAGTGCCCTGAAGGCATTCGAGCAACAAAAAAAAAAAAAAAAAAAAAAAGAAATTAAGAAGTAAAAAAGTATGAACAATTGAAAAAGGAGAAAAAACAAATTAAATATTATTTACTTCTTTCCATAGGCAAGCAGAAATGCACAATACAGTTAAATCATCCTGCTTGCATACCTAGATATATCTCTTTCACCCACTCCCTCTGCTGTTCTTCTCCTCAACTAATTCTTTCCTTTTTTTTTTTTTTTTTTTTCCAGAACCGGGGATTGAACTCAGGCCCTTGTGCTCACCAGGGAAGTGCGTATTCTGCTGAGCCATCTCCCTGGCCCCAGTTCTTTCCATTTGAATAAGTTCATTCCCTTTCCCAGTGTCTATTGTACCCTTCAGATTCCATTTTCTCTTTTAGATTCTCACAGTAAGAAGACAATATGATGTTTTCACATGTGGGTCTGATTTATTTTATTTAAGAGTATGTTCTCTAATTGCATCCATTTACTGACAAAAGACTCAGATTTATCCTGTTTTATAGCTGAATAATATTCCATTGTGTAACAATACCACATCTTCTTTATCCATTGTTCAGTTGGTGGGCATCTGGGTTGTTTGTAAAATTTAGCTATGACAAACTGTGCTATGACCATGGTGCACATATATTTCTGTGGTGTGAGGTTTTCAGTTCTTCTGGAAGAACACCCAGGAAGGGAATAGCTAGCTTGACGGGACCTCCAATTCTAGCTTCTTAAGGGATCTCCACACTGATTTCCATGCTGGTTGCATCAGTCTGCCCTCCCACCAATAGGGCAGGAGGATTCCTTTTCCCCACAGCCCTTCTAGCATTTGTTATTGGCTGACTTCTTAATGTTAGCCATTCTTTCTGGGGTGAGATGGAATCTCAGTGTTGTTTTAATTTGTGTTTCTCAAATGACCAACGACATTGAACATTTTTTCATATATTTATTTGCCATTTGTATTTTTTCCTCTGAGAAGTGTATATTCATCTCAGATGCCCATCTTTGGATTGGGTCTTTGAATTTGGTAGGGGGGTACTTTTTAAAAGAATTCTTTATACATTCCAGATAGAAGGCCTTTGTCAGAGGAACAGTTGGCTATAATTTTTCCCAGTTTGTGGGTTTTCTTTTTACTTTGTTGGAGATTTACTTTGAAGTGCAGACACTTTTCAAAAAGAGGAGATCCCAGTTGTTGATTCTTTGAAGTATTTCCTATGCAGTTTGGTTTTTGTTCATGAACTCTCTATATGCCCTATGTCTTTAAGATTTCTACCTACATCTTCCTCCAGAAGATTTAGTGTTTCTGTTTTAATATTTAAATCTTTGATCCATTTTGACTGTAGTTTTGTGCATTGCGATAGGCATGGGTCTAGTTTTCACCTTCGGCATGTGGAAAATCAGTTTTTTCCAGCACCATTTATTAAAGAGGCTATCTTTCTTCCAGTGAGCATTTTGGCCCCTTTATCAAAGATAAGGTAGCTGAGTGTGTTTGAAGTTGTATGTGCATCTCCTAATCTGTTCCACTGATCCTCAAGTCTGTTTCTGTGCCAGTACCATGCTGATTTTGTCATAGCAGCTTTAAAATATAATTTCAGGTCAGGGATTGTGCTACCTCCTACCTTTCCTTTAGTTTTCAGGATTGCTTTTGATATTCTGGGTCTCTTCTGGTTCCAGACGAATTTGAGAAAAGTTTTCTCTAACTCTTTGAGTTATACTAGTAGTATTTTATTTGGGATTGCATTGCATCAGTACAATTTTGGAGTATGGCCATTTTCACAATGTTGGTTCTTCCTATCTAGTACCATGGACTAGCTTTCAATTTTCTCAGATCCTCTTCACTCGCTTTTCTCAGAGTACTATAATTTTCACTGTATAAATCTTTTATGTCCTTTATGAGATTGATTCCTAAGTATTTCATCTTTTTGGCTGTTACTGTGAAAGGCGTGGTTTCCCTAATTTCTCTGTCAGTGCATTCTTTGTGTATGAAAATGCTACTGGATTTTGGGTGTTGACTTTCTATCCTGTTACCTTGCTGAATTTGGTGGTTAAATCTACAAGACTCTTGGTGGAGTTTTTGGGGTCCTCTATGTAGAGTATCATGTCATCTGCAAATAATGATAATTTCACTTCTTTTTTTGCCAATCCTATTTCTTTTATTTCTCTCTGGTCTAATTTCTCTGGCTAATGTTTCCAGAACTATATTGAATAGGAGTGGAAACAGTGGATATCCTTGTCTTGTTCCTGATGTTAAAGTGAAGACCTTCAGTTTTTGCCTATTTAGTATGATGTTGGCTGTTGGTTTCTCATAGATGGTCTTTATCAGGTTGAGATATAGACTATTCCAATTCTCTGTAGGGTTTTTATCATGAACTGTGGAGGACCACCTGGGTGACTCTCCTTTAAATAAGAGCAGTTATCTCTATTTTGGTGTGTCTGACCCTATTTCTATATATTAATAGGTACAGAGCTGGCTAGGACTTTTCCTTATCCTTTCAGTTGGCTTTAAGCAATGCATATTGGTCTAGCGAGGTGCTGGTGGTAGTCTTTTTTTTTTTTTCAAAATTGGGGATTGAACTCAGACCCTTGAGCTTTCCAGGGAAGCACGTATTCTACTTACTGAGCCATCTCCCCAGCCCAAGGGAAATTGAGCTGAGTATGAGCTTTTTTTTTTTTTTTTTTTTTCGGAACTGGAGATTGTACTCAAGCCCTTGAGCTTGCCAGGGAAGCACTTATTCTACTAAGCCATCTCCTTGGCCCTTGGTGGTAGTCTTTGAAGATGGCAGGTATGTTTCTCTGAAAACCCACACCTGCTGCTCATTAATATGAGCCAGGTAGAGACAGGATGAAGAACCAGTGCTCCACACTGTCTGCTGGGATTGAGTCTTGAGATAGTGGCTATGACTTCCTGGGCCTTGAAAGACTACACGTCAGAGCTGAAGCACCAGACTCCAAAACATTAGATACTGTCTCAATAGTATAATGCAAATCACTTTTTCTGCACATTCTTCTCTGTGCATATCGCAGAGCTAAATGCAGGCCTCCTACCTAGTCCACCTCACAGTGCTCATCTACTTCCTGCCATTCTCAGTCATTCATCCTCAAACCACTCCTCCTTCATGACTGAATGAAACCCGGATTCAGCCCTGGGTTGAGGCCTTTGTTCCCGTTAGCCATGACCATGGCTGGACTTATGACCTCTTGGCTCCCCATAATTATAAATATGCTTTAGTGTCTTTATTTTTGCTGTGGGT